TAAAAATGTGTCAAATATGATGACAGAAAAAAAATTGGCGATTCTATGTAGGAAAAAGCAATTACGCGCGAAAACGCGCGCGCATGTGCGTGCGCGCGTTTTTTGCAAAATGCTTAAAATGGCCTGAAACGTATGCAAAAAAAATTTGAGACGATTTTGAGCATTTTTATTTTTTGCGCGCGCGGTGACGCGCGGACGTACGCATGCGCGCGCGTTTTCTGACCTGAAATTGACCGGACGGATATTGACCTTAATCGTGATAAATATGAATGAGAAATGCCTTTCCGTTATGAAGATATGATCATGAGTAAAAAGTACCAAAAAAAACACAAAATGGCGCCTGGATGACGTCATGAAAACTTGATGACCTTGAAAATGTTACTCTAATGTCTCATGACAATGACCTATGACTGTGCCAAAATTGAACGAAATTGACTAAACTGATCTTGAGTTATCCTGTTAACAAAAAAGTGTGAAAATAAATAAAAATAAATAATAATAATAATAATAATAAAGAAAGAAAATTCTGACGAAAACAATAGGTGATCTGTCGTTGACAGACCACCTAAAAAGAAAAGAAAAAAATTGTTGGAGACTCCCGGACTCGAACCAGGGACCTCGAGGTCGGAAGTCAAGTGCGTTACCGATATGCCAAAACATTTCCCATAGAGATTACACGTAAACGGAAAATAGAATTCACAAATCCCACTTTATAAGTGAAATATGAGCATGATCCCGGCATCTGATCGAAAAATAAAGGGCACACTCGTAATAGCTCATTCTCTCAGCTACATCATACTCAAAGCTCAGCATAAACAAAGATAAAACGATGGAGATATTGCTCGCGAAAGACGAGAATGTAGAATCCAGTTTTGAGAAAAAGTCATGTCTCATAGAGAATACACGCAAAATGTGAAAAATTGACATGCCTGCTTTAATCGCAAAAAATACGCCATGATGCCCTTGTCAAAATGAAATATCGTGGAGACTGCATTTGTAGACAATATTCTCAGGTAGAACATATCAAAATTTGAAAGAAAATGAATTAATATTTACAGAGATACAATCAATTTTATAAAAATATGTTGACGTCATAATATGCAAATTGAAATTTTGAGTTCGGAGGCCATTATGATGGCGTCATGAGTTAATTGAGGGTCAAATGACACATGAAATCATATCTCCAACTCATGTTTTTTCCAACCATGATATAAAAGTTGGGGTCAATTGACTATCTGAAGAGCTATTTTGATTTTTAAAATGGGATGTTTTTGATCAAATTTGCATTATAGTGCCCATAGCAGCACGCGCGGATTTTGAACTTTGACGCGCGCTCACGGCCTTATGAAAGGTCAAGAGTGACTGAAATTAATGTAAATTGTCATTTACGGTAAGAGGAATATAAATCATGTAAAACAAATGAATTTGACCTTTTCCGCGCGTTGTGAGCGCGCGCAACGCGCGCGGGGACACTTACGGACGGAAAATGTTGAAATGCTTAAAATGACCTGATTCGTACTCTCCTTTGATAGTTAAGTGATTTTGAGCATTTTAATATTTTGACGCACGCGTACGCGCGCGTCGTGAACTTTATGTGACCTTTGATGACATGACCTGTTGACCCTTGACCTGAAGTATATGTGATATGAATATGAATGACCTTTGCTTATGCATCACGAAGATATGATGGATAACGTGATTTCACAAAATGGCGCCTGGATGACGTCACGATAACCTGATGACCTTGAAAATGTTCCTGTCACGTCTCATGACAATGACCTATGACTGTGTCAAAATTGAAAGAAATTAAAACAACCGATCTTGAGTTAACCGATAAACAAAAAACGGGAAGAAATAAAAATAAATAATAATAATAATAAATAAATAAATAAAGAAAGAAAATTCTGACGAAAACAATAGGTGATCTGTCGAAAACGACAGACCACCTAACTAGAATTTAAATCGTCACGAAGACGATTAAGGTGGTCTGTCTAAGTCTTATGGTAGATTTGAGAATGGGAGAAGTTATATAGACATGTAAACAATGATGATCATGATAAACATGATGATGATCATGATAGTAAAGGTGATGATGATGATGATAATGATCATGATCATGATGATGTTGATGATGGTGACATTGATGATGATGATGACGATGATGATATTGATGATGATGATGAGCATGAGCATGATCCTGACATCTGATTGAAAAAATAAGGAAATATTTAGATAGCAAATAGTCTCAGCTACAACATACTAAGATTTGGGAGAAAACTGTTGTATAATAACTGAGATACTGGTCAAAACACATTGTCATGCAGATTCATGTTTTGAAAAAAGTGACCTCCCATAGACATAACACGCAAATATAACAAATTATGCATTGTCGCCTTTAATCGAATATTTAACTATGATGACGTCATTAAAATGAAAAATAAATGGCATAATTATGATAGAGAATTATCTCAGCTACAACATATCAAAATGTGGGAGAAAATCGATCACCGATAAGTGAGATAATCTCAATTAAACAAAGACAAAAATGACGTCATCAACAAAATACATTTGTTTGAGTTTAGATGCAAATATGATGACTTTGTTTCACTTTGTACGAGTCAGGGGGGTATGAAATCATATCTCCAACTCATGCTTTCTCCAACCATGATATAAAAATTGGGGGTCGATGGACTATCTGAAGAGCTATTTCGATTTTTAAAATGGCATGTTTTTGATCAAATTTGCATTATATTACCCATAGCAGCACGCGCGGATTTTGAACTTTGACGCACGCTCACGGCCTTATGAAATATGAAGAGTGACTGAAATTAATGTAAATTGTCAATTACGTTGGGAGGAATCCAAATCATGTAAACATTTTGAATTTGACCTTTTCCGCGCGCTGTGAGCGCGCACACCGCGCGCGGGGACACAAACGGACGGAAAATTTTGAAATGCTTAAAATGACCTGATTCGTACTCTCGTTTAATAGTTAAGTGATTTTGAGCAATTTAAAATTTTGACGCGCACATACGCGCGCGTCATGACCTTTATGTGACCTTTGATGACATGACCTGTTGACCCTTGACCTGAAGTATATGTTATATTAATATGAATGACCTTTGATGACGCGTCATGAAGATATGATGGATAATGTGATTTCACAAAATGGCGCCTGGATGACGTCACGATAATTTGATGACCTTGAAAATGTTCCTGTCACGTCTCATAATGATGACCTATGACTGTGTCAAAATTGAGAGAAATTGGGTGGATGGATATTGAGAAATCGGATACACAAAAAAGTGGAGAAATAAATAAAAATAAATAAATAATAAATAAAGAAAGAAAATTCTGACGAAATCAATAGGTGGTCTGTTGATAACAGACCACCTAACTAGAATTTAATTCGTCACGAAGACGAATAAGGTGGTCTGTCTAAGTCTTATGATAGATTTGAGAATGGGAGAAGTTATATAGACATGTAAACAATGATGATCATGATGAACATGGTGATGATCATGATAGTAAAGGTGATGATGATAATGATAATGTTATATGACGATAAAAACGATAAAGTTAATGATGATGATGAGCAAAAGCATGATCCTGACAACTGATTTAAAAAATTGAGGAAATATTTAGATAGCAAATAGTCTCAGCTACAACATACTAAAATTTGGGAGAAAACTATTGAATAACAATCGAGATCCTGGTCAAAACACTTTGTCATGCAGATTCATGTTTTGAAGAAATTGACCTCCCATAGACATAACACGTAAATATGACAAATTATGCATTGTCACTTTTAATCGAATATTTAACTATGATGACGTCATCTAAAAGAAAAATAAATAACATATTTCTGATAGAGAATTATCGCAGCTACAACATATCAAAATCTGGGAGAAGATCGATCACCGATAAGTGAGATAATCTCAAATAAACAAAGACAAAAATGACGTCATCAACAAAATACATTTGTTTGAGTTTAGATGCCAATATGATGACTTTATTTTACTTTGTACGAGTCAGGGTGGTATGAAATCATATCTCCAACTCATGCTTTCTCCAACCATGATATAAAAAATGGGGGTCAATGGACTATCTGAAGAGCTATTTCGATTTTTAAAATGGCATGTTTTTGATAAAATTTGCATTATATTGCCCATAGCAGTACGCGCGGATTTTGAACTTTGACGCACGCTCACGGCCTTATGAAATATGAAGAGTGACTAAAATTAATGTTAATTGTCAATTACGTTAAGAGGAATCCAAATCATGTAAACATTTTGAATTTGACCTTTTCCGCGCGCTGTGAACGCGCACACCGCGCGCGGGGACACTTACGGACGGAAAATTTTGAAATGCTTAAAATGACCTGATTCGTACTCTCGTTTAATAGTTTAGTGATTTTGAGCAATTTTAAATTTTGACGCGCACATACGCGCGCGTCATGACCTTTATGTGACCTTTGATGACATGACCTGTTGACCCTTGACCTAAAGTATATGTGATATGAATATGAATGACCTTTGCTGATGCATCATGAAGATATGATGGATAACGTGATTTCACAAAATGGCGCCTGGATGACGTCACGATGACCTGATGACCTTGAAAATGTTCCTGTCACGTCTCATGACAATGACCTATGACTGTGTCAAAATTGAAAGAAATTAACACAACCGATCTTGAGTTAACCGATAAACAAAAAACGGGAAGAAATAAAAATAAATAATAATAATAATAAAGAAAGAAAATTCTGACGAAATCAATAGGTGGTCTGTTGACAACAGACCACCTAACTAGAAATTTAATTCGTCACGAAGACGAATAAGGTGGTCTGTCTAAGTCTTATGATAGAATTGAGAATGGGAGAAGTTATATAGACATGTAAACAATGATGATCATGATGACCATGATGATGATCATGATAGTAAAGGTGATGATGATTGTTGCTGCCGCAGGATCAAAATAACTCAACGTTGAAACGGATGTTCATTTTCTGGTGACGAATGTCTTTATTTGACTTAACGATTGTCAAAACAAAGTAACAGTGATGAACAGTGCCGTGAAAACTGTGAACATAAAAAGTATAAAATAGCACAGAATAATAAATACCGTGCGAAAGATACAAATATATATACACAAGTAAATATACAGATTACTTGTCAATTTAAAGAGTTGATAAACCAGATAGATGTTCTTAACGAGAGTTGTTCATACAAATATGATTTGTCAAAATAAGTATAAAAAGGGTTCATGATAAAACATTTATGATATGAGCTACAAGTCTCTTACAAGAAATTTGATAAACATGCATTAAGAGCATACTAGTTAAGACTATGAATATAAAAGCAAGTTTTATATGCTACTGATTTACAGAGAATTCTTATTCATGAATAATTACTCAAACATGAAATATTCAAATGGCTTTCCATAATTTAGCGTTAGATGTAAACAATCTCACGTGTGTGGAAAACTAGCTCACTGAACGCTACTAATCACAACATGAAAAAACACTTATAATGTATCAAAATTACAAACTGATAGATCATGTAAGTAATATAAAATTGTTCTAAATACATTTCTGCAATAACATACCTCGTTGGCAGGACTTTTCCATCCTTGGGCAGCAAAATATACCTTGAAACTTTGGCGTTTCTTGAAGACCCCACAAAACACGTATTGCTTGGGCCAGGTCGTAATTCAGAAAAGCCAAGGGTCAACGCGTTCACCGAACTTATCGGCACACGGATATCAAATAATTTGTCCAACTGGAATTTTACTTAAAACAACCAACGATTTAGTTTTGACAGAATTTACTAATGTTATTCGCATTTCAATGAACATTACTTTACATTTCAGTACATAATTAATGATAATAACTTATTTCTTATGCTTGAATGTATGGAACTATTTTCTCGTGCGTACTAAAAATGTGTTTGTAGGCCTTTTATTGACATTGACCCGCGCTAGGCATGCGCTGTAAATCTTTCTTAAGTAACAAAGAGAAATTACTTAAAGGGCGATGCACATGTAAAATAGGTGGTGCTATGAACAAAAATTAAAAATACTAATGACAAATTCTGGCGGCAGCCACACTCCCACCCAAATCATCTAACTGATTTTTCAAACAACAAAACTATCTATTTGAAACAAAACAAGGAATTGACCGACTTGCAAAATTTATAAATACAAATGGTCTTCCCCAAATTGAGAAAATATTTCTTAGAATGTCAGGGCAGGATGAAAGTCCAGGTTAGTCAAAGCCATTTGTCTGGGTAAAAGTGAATGTCAGCTATTAAAGTCAAGCTTAGTCTTCAATCGCCTTGTCGGTGCTGCGGATCAAAACTACCAGTTTGTGTACTGGCCTTTCAAGAGTTGTCCTCTTATTTACTGGCTTACCTTTTTTGTCCAAGTCTGGGGTCGCCATGAGAAGTCGCACCTTCCGGACTAGACCATCATCACTGGACATTGTTTCCATGACTCTCGCAACTCTCCAATCTGTCCGACAAATGGCTTCTTTCTGGACAGCATGCAGGAGATTTCTCTCAGCGACTCTTTTGATCTCAACATCATCTATGTCATGTCCCTTGCGCCTGTAACAACACCTCACTAGTACAGCTACCGCTCTAATAGCGCTGTCCAACATGGCGAAGCGGTTCAACCTATCTTCAAATGACGTAAAGGTTGAAATCTTGGTCTTTGACATTACTGTATGTACTGTCGAAGACTTCACTTCAACGTCGTCAGGAGAAACCTCTAGTGTGACATCTTGCTTAGCAACTTCACTTTCCCAAAGGAAGTCTGGTCCTCCTAACCAGTTTGACGAAAGAAGTTCCTCTGTTGTCAGTCCACGTGATGCGTAGTCAGCTGGATTATCACCGCTAGTAACATAATTCCACTGACTACAACTTGTGGTTCTCAGAATACAATCCACTCTGTTCGCAACGAACATGTGGAAGCGCTTAGACTGGTTGTACAGGTAACCCAGAACAACCTTGGAGTCGGTCCAGAAGATATTCTTGACTGAGCTGTAGTCTAGCTCCTTATTCAGTATTTTTGCAACCTTGGCAGATAAGGTTGCTGCCTGAAGCTCCAGTCTGGGGACGGTAGACTGCTTGAGCGGTGCTACTCTCGCCTTTGCCATGGCAAGAGAGCAGTGGACTTGTCCCCTTTGATTTCGTAATCTGACATATGAACATTGTCCATATCCAGATAATGAGGCATCTGAGAAGTGGTGCAATTCCACTTCCTCAGCCTCTCCGAAATCTTTGGGCTGGAAGCAGCGAGGAATCTTTGCAGTTTCTAGCTTCAGGATCTCCTGTCTCCATATTTCCCATCTTGTCCGAAGATAGTCAGGAACGGGATGATCCCAATCCATCTTTTGTTTGCACATTTCCTGCAGAATCATTCTGCCAGCAAGGACAACTGGTGCAATGAGACCAAGGGGATCATATACAGACGCAACTGAAGCTAGAATACCTCGTCGAGTGAGGGGTTGATCCTTCAGAGTAAGTCGGAAGCAGAACTCATCAGAACTGACGCACCACTGAAGCCCAAGAGCTCTTTCGATTGGTGAGGTTTGTTCACCTAGCTGAACACTTGCATTCGTGACAGTGGCACGTTCCGATTTTGGAATGGTGCTGGTTACGTCCTTGCTATTGCACACAAATTTGTGCAGACGTAGATTGCCTTTAGCACACATTTGAGTTGCGTCCTTGATTAGCACAGCTGCTTCCTGTTCAGAAGACATGCTTTTTAGGCCATCATCGACATAAAAGTTCCTCTTGAGGAAGTTGGCTGCACGGTCACCGAGTTTCTTGTGGTCCTCCGCAATCTGTTTTAAGCCAAAGTTGGCACAGCCCGGAGATGAGGTTGCCCCAAAGAGGTGGACCTTCATCCTATGATCTACTGGGGTCTTGGAGAGATCCCCATCCTCCCACCACAAGAAACGCAGATAGTTTTGATGTGGATCTGCAACCTTAAACTGGTGGTACATCTTCTCCACATCGCACATGAATGCCACAGGACCTTGGCGAAATCTCAACAGGACACCGATGAGAGGATTAATCAAGTCAGGGCCTTGCAGGAGATGGTCATTGAGGCTTGTCCCAAGATACCTGGCGCTACAATCGAATACAACCCTGACCTTGCCAGGCTTCTTAGGGTGATATACCCCATGGTGAGGAATATACCACAAGCCTTTGTCACTACTATCACCGACCATCTCTGCATCACCGCGTGCCAAGATCTCCTTCATGAATACCTTGTAGTGACTGTGATATTCAGGTTTCTTCAGGAACTGTTTCTTGAGACCTGCTAATCGACCCAAAGCAGCCTGTCGATTGTTCGGAAGAGATGGCGGTCCTTTCTTGAATGGAAGAGGCATCTCATAGAACCCATCCTCTCTCTGGCGTAAACCTTCGGTGACAACTTGAATGAATTTTTTGTCATTTTGTGACATTGCATCAGCTTGTTCAGCTTCTTGGAAGTCCCTTTCCATGAGCTGAAGGAAATCCGATGCAGTCGCTTCCTTTAAGGGAGACTGGTAAGCGAATGTCACCTTCTTGATATCGATCGGGGCCTCTACCTTCATGCTGACTGTCCTGTATGTGTGGCCAAACGAATCGAAGCTGTTGGACAAGTCAGACTGACCTCCAACAATACTCCAACCAAGGTCTGTTTGGACAGCATACGGCTCACCATTTTGGCCTCGGACTGACGTCAGAGGAGCAAGGGCCTGTGCACAATTGTAGCCAATCAGAAGACCGACAGGACAGTCTTGTTTTGGCGCTATCATATCCTGCACACACACGAGATGAGGCCACTTGGAGGCAGTTTCTGGAGTCGGGATATGACTGTCGTCCAGAGGGATAGACTGCCTAGTAAATGTGGAGGGTAGACGAATTTTCTCCGAGGAATAAAAACCTCTGACACGAAGATTGTCATACTTGAAGGTTGAGATCGATATCTCATCTGTCAAAGTTGTCAACGACAATGTGGCAGGCTGGGATTGTACATCCAGGTCTTGGCCGACATCTTCGGAAAGGAAGGTGGTGTTTGACATGGAGTCTAGTAGTGCATACACTAGAACCTCCTTGTCAGGCCTCTCTGTACTAGAAAGGTACACAGGCACAATCATTGATGTAAGGTCACTACGTTCATCGCCTTGTACTTTGTGCGTTACAGCTTGAGGATTTGAGGTCGATGCGGTTTGAGCTTCCTTCGGTTGGCTTGATGCCAAGTTGGCCTTGTTCGAATCTCTTTGGTCCTCATGAAGGCAGCTTGGATGCCTTTTACTGCACTTCTTGCAGACCAGTCTGCTTTGGCAATATTTAGACATATGGCCTTTTTCAAGACAGCCATAGCAAAGTCTTTCATTTTTGATGAAATCCTTTCTCTGGGACATGTCTTTCCGAAGGAATTCCCGACAGTCATTCAGGGAATGATGTTGTCTCTTGCACAACAGACATTGCTTCTGTGAAGTTGAGCCAGACGTAGAGAGGGTTACCCGTTTTGAGACTGCGGTTTCCTGTTTTCTCTCTCTAGTCTTGCCAACATCCACAGTGAGCAGAGGATCATTAGCAATGTCTGCTTCGTTCCCAATGAAAGAAACGAAGTCAGCAAACCTAGGATAACAAAGTCGCTCCCTTTTTGTCTGTGCCACCGAGCGATTCCATCTATGGACGATATGATCTGGTAGTCGAGCAACCATTCGGTTGATCTCTCGTATATCATCCAGAATGTTGAGATCGACAATCTCAGCCTTGGCTACCAGACACTGTTGAAGGAAGTCTGCAAACCGCTGCAGCCCATTGTGATCCTTGCTGGTTATCTTGGGCCACACATCCAACTTTGTCCGAAAGGCTTCAGCAATAGCAAATGGATTGCCAAACCTCTTTTGAAGGGTGCTCTTTGCTTGCTCAAATGCATTTTCTGACCTCAGGAGAAAGTAGCCACTGACTGCCTCCTTTGCTGGACCACCAAGATACCTTCGAAGGTAGTGAATTTTTTCACCAGGAGGGATGCCTCTTCGCTCTACCAGAGTAGTGAAAGCCGACACCCAATCTGGATATTGGAGTGGGTCTCCAGTGAATATTGGCGGCTCCGGAACGGGTAGACGACTCTGAGCCAAGGCATCAGCGAGATCTAAAACTGGTGATCTTGGCTGGAACATCGGAGCTTGGGGATCAAGCACTACTTGCGCTTGCTGTGACACGATGGAGGCTGGTTCATCAATCAATTTGCTTTCTAACTTGGGAGATGCCCTTGGGATCACATCAGTTGGATTTGGCTGATCTTCGATCTTTTTGACAACAGTTTTACCTCCACGCGAGGATGAAGAAGAGACTGTGCTGGTTCCATCTTCTTCATCGTAGACTCTCATAATTGCTTCTTGTGCCTTGAGCTTGCCTTGTAGTCTTTCCTCTTCTAGTTGTCTTTTCAGCTCGGACATTTTGAAAACTACTTGCTTCCTCCTCATTTCTTCCTCAAGTTCCATTCTTTCGAGCTCCTTTTCCCGTTCATTTTGAAGCTTCTGGGCTGTAAGCTCTTCTTGTAATGCAGCGGCTTCTGCTGCGACTGCAACTCGTCGTGACGATCTGGAAGATGTCCTCGAGAGTCGTGATTGTGTTGAGTGCGCCAACCGAATTGATGGTTGTCTAGAAGAAGACATGTTGGATACCTTATCAATATCCGATAAGATATTACGAACAGAAATAGAAGATTCATCCATTGCCTCAATAACCTCATCATCAATGGAGTCTTCATTGAGCCTTTTTAGCTCAACAAATATCTCCTTCAAAGAATTGAGCCTAGCAGTAATGTCAAGCTTATTCACTGCTAAGCTATCACCATCAATGTTTTGAGACAATAAGCTATTTCGAGTAGATTGTATGATCGAATGCAAATCTATATGTTCAACAAAAAACTTACCTTGAAGGTCGTCTTCTTTATTCTGCAATGCTTTCTCTGTCAATTTGACAGGACGAGTGGAGCGGCGAAGTGTTTCAGGAGGTAAGTTAGTCGAGTCAGTAGTCAAGTTATTTTCAGTTGGTTGTTGCCCTTCCATATTGAACGATATATTTTTGAGGTAAATAAACCAACGAGAAAATCAGTGTTTGAGATCAAATTTAAATAATCTTGACCGAAATTTGAAGTTTGAATTTGAATCAAAGTTTGGAAGTGAAATAGAAATGGGCGTGTGGGAGTGGGCTGGTAACAGCAAATGGCAGTAGCTGATAACAAATAGCAAAGATAACTGCTTTAACCCAAATCTCAATTCGGGCACGATAAAAACACAGCGCTACGCAGGACATACAATTCGATACATTCAAGCTTTGAAATAATAAAAATATCAAACGTAGCATAGAATTAATGATATTATCATGAATCCAAATCAATTCCAATATCAACAAGGTAACCCGATTTCTAATCAATTTCAAATTATTATGACCTTTTGTTCCCTTGTTCTTAAAGGAAAACACTATCGGTAATCAGTTTCTTTTTAGTTTAGAAATTTTTTCAATCTTAATAAAAAAATATCCTTTCAAATGAACTTGATCATGTTATTTTGTCTCAAAATCATCTATAAGTGCACACACAAGGTTATTCTTGATGAGATGTTACATACACATAACAAATTCTGTAAACTTATCTCCACTCGTTAGATAAGTATTTTAAGAAAATTATAATCTTAGCTGAAAATTTAAATCCCAAACATCATAAGGGAATCAAATCTTATGTTGTTTTAAATTACGTTATCCAAACAAATCAGAATAAATAGCTGTTACAATTCTGGGATACGAACCAAGACTCTGTTAGAGATCTTAAAGGTTTTAAATCTGAAATTCTCTCGAGAAGTTGATATGCAAGCCTAAATCAATCTTTAGCTTGTTTATTGCTTAAGTTTCCAAACGAGAAATTTCAATCGCATATAAATGTTCTAGTGTTCTTTCTTTGATTTCAATCTTCAATTATTTTGATGAAAATGAACCTGACATCCTTGAGCGATGATCAACCTCCAAGCCGTTTGATTGCCCGTGTCTTGCCGAGTTCCTCGTCAGCTTCCTTAGTGGCCAGGTGAGGACGAATGCAGTTCCAGACATCACATCAAATATTTGGCTTGAGTAGTTGATCCAATTATGGATTTCTCAGGTGTCATGTCCATCCGAGTTTTCACTGTTGCTGCCGCAGGATCAAAATAACTCAACGTTGAAACGGATGTTCATTTTCTGGTGACGAATGTCTTTATTTGACTTAACGATTGTCAAAACAAAGTAACAGTGATGAACAGTGCCGTGAAAACTGTGAACATAAAAAGTATAAAATAGCACAGAATAATAAATACCGTGCGAAAGATACAAATATATATACACAAGTAAATATACAGATTACTTGTCAATTTAAAGAGTTGATAAACCAGATAGATGTTCTTAACGAGAGTTGTTCATACAAATATGATTTGTCAAAATAAGTATAAAAAGGGTTCATGATAAAACATTTATGATATGAGCTACAAGTCTCTTACAAGAAATTTGATAAACATGCATTAAGAGCATACTAGTTAAGACTATGAATATAAAAGCAAGTTTTATATGCTACTGATTTACAGAGAATTCTTATTCATGAATAATTACTCAAACATGAAATATTCAAATGGCTTTCCATAATTTAGCGTTAGATGTAAACAATCTCACGTGTGTGGAAAACTAGCTCACTGAACGCTACTAATCACAACATGAAAAAACACTTATAATGTATCAAAATTACAAACTGATAGATCATGTAAGTAATATAAAATTGTTCTAAATACATTTCTGCAATAACATACCTCGTTGGCAGGACTTTTCCATCCTTGGGCAGCAAAATATACCTTGAAACTTTGGCGTTTCTTGAAGACCCCACAAAACACGTATTGCTTGGGCCAGGTCGTAATTCAGAAAAGCCAAGGGTCAACGCGTTCACCGAACTTATCGGCACACGGATATCAAATAATTTGTCCAACTGGAATTTTACTTAAAACAACCAACGATTTAGTTTTGACAGAATTTACTAATGTTATTCGCATTTCAATGAACATTACTTTACATTTCAGTACATAATTAATGATAATAACTTATTTCTTATGCTTGAATGTATGGAACTATTTTCTCGTGCGTACTAAAAATGTGTTTGTAGGCCTTTTATTGACATTGACCCGCGCTAGGCATGCGCTGTAAATCTTTCTTAAGTAACAAAGAGAAATTACTTAAAGGGCGATGCACATGTAAAATAGGTGGTGCTATGAACAAAAATTAAAAATACTAATGACAAATTCTGGCGGCAGCCACAATGATGATAATGATAATGTTATATGATGATAAAAACGATAATGTTAATGATGATGATGAGCACAAGCATGATCCTGACATCTGATTGAAAAAATAAGGAAATATTTAAATGGCAAATAGTCTCAGCTACAACATACTAAAATTTGGGAGAAAACTGTTGAAAAACAACCGAGATACTGGTCAAAACACCTTGTCATGCAGATTCATGTTTTGAAAAAAGTGACCTCCCATAGACATAACACGCAAATATGACAAATTATGCATTGTCACCTTTAATCGAATATTTCACTATGATGATGTCATCTAAATGAAAAATAAATAACTTATTTCTGATAGAGAATTATCTCAGCTACAACATATCAAAATCTGGGAGAAAATTGATCACCGATAAGTGAGATAACCTCAATTAAACAAAGACAAAAATGACGTCATCAACAAAATACATTTGTTTGAGTTTGGATGCCAATATGATGACTTTATTTCACTTTGTACGAGTCAGGGTGGTATGAAATCATATCTCCAACTCATGCTTTCTCCAACCATGATATAAAAATTGGGGGTCAATACACTATCTGAAGAGCTATTTCGATTTATAAAGTAGCATGTTTTTGATCAAATTTACATTATATTGCCCATAGCAGCACGCGCGGAATTTGAACTTTGACGCGTGCTCACGGTTTTATGAAAGGTCAAGAGTGACTGAAATTAATGTAAATTGTCATTTACGGTAAGAGGAATCTAAATCATGTACACAAATTAAATTTGACCTTTTCCGCGCATTGTGAGCGCGCGCACCGCGCGCGGGGACAAGTACGGACGGAGAATTTTGAAATGCTTAAAATGACCTAATTCGTACTCTCGTTTAATAGTTAAGTGATTTTGAGCATTTTAAAATTTTGACGCGCGCGTACGTGCGCGTCATGACCTTTATGTGACCTTTGATGACATGACTTGTTGACCCTTGACCTGAAGTATATGTGATATGAATATGAATGACCTTTGCTCATGCATCATGAAGATATGATGGATAACGTGATTTCACAAAATGGCGCCTGGATGACGTCACGATGACCTGATGACCTTGAAAAGGTTACTGTCACGTCTCATGACAATGACCTATGACTGTGTCAAAATTGAAAGAAATTAACACAACCGATCTTGAGTTAACCGATGAACAAAAAACGGGGAGAAATAAAAATAAATAATAACTAGAATTTAATTCGTCACGAAGACGAATAAGGTGGTCTGTCTATGTCTTATGACAGATTTGAGAATGGGAGAAGTTATATAGACATGTAAACAATGATAATCATGATGAACATGATGATAATCATGATAGTAAAGGTGATGATGATGATAATGATAATGTTATATGATGATAAAAACGATAATGTTAATGATGATGATGAGCATAAGCATGATCCTGACATCTGATTGAAAAAAATGAGGAAATATTTAGATAGCAAATAGTCTCAGCTACAACATACTAAAATTTGGGAGAAAACTGTTGAATAACAACCGAGATACTGGTAAAAACACCTTGTCATGCAGATTCATGTTTTGAAAAAAGTGACCTCCCATAGACATAACACGCAAATATGACAAATTATGCATTGTCGCCTTTAATCGAATATTTCACTATGATGCATCATCGAAATGAAAAATAAATGACATATTTCTGATAGAGAATTATCTCAGCTACAACGTATTAAAATCTGAGAGAAAATTAATCACAGATAAGTGAGATAATATCAATTAAACAAAGACAAAAAATACGTCATCAACAAAATACATTTGTTTGAGTTTAGATGCCAATATGATGACTTTGTTTCACTTTGTACGAGTCAGGGTGGTATGAAATCATATCTCCAACTCATGCTTTTTCCAACCATGATATAAAAAATGGGGGTCAATGGACTATCTGAAAAGCTATATCGATTTTTAAAATGGCATGTTTTTGATCAAATTTGCATTATATTGCCCATAGCAGCACGCGCGGATTTTGAACTTTGACGCACGCTCACGGCCTTATGAAATATGAAGAGTGACTGAAATTAATGTAAATTGTTAATTACATTAAGAGGAATCCAAATCATGTAAACATTTTGAATTTGACCTTTTTCGCGCGCTGTGAGCGCGCACACCGCGCGCGGGGACACAAACGGACGGAAAATTTTGAAATGCTTAAAATGACCTGATTCGTACTCTCGTTTAATAGTTAAGTGATTTTGAGCAATTTAAAATTTTGACGCGCACATACGCGCGCGTCATGACCTTTATGTGACCTTTGATGACATGACCTGTTGACCCTGGACCTAAAGTATATGTGATATGAATATGAATGACCTTTGCTGATGCATCATGAAGATATGATGGATAACGTGATTTCACAAAATGGCGCCTGGATGACGTCACGATAACCTAATGACCTTGAAAATGTTCCTGTCACGTCTCATTACAATGACCTATAATTGTGCCGAAATTTAATGAAATTAACTAAACCAAACTTGAGTTATCCGGGCCACAAAAAACGGGGAGAAATAAAAATAAAGAATAATAACTAGAATTTAATTCGTCACGAAGACGAATAAGGTGGTCTGTCTAAGTCTTATGATAGATTTGAGAATGGGAGAAGTTATATAGACATGTAAACAATGATGATCATGATGAACATGGTGATGATCATGATAGTAAAGGTGATGATGATGATGATAATGATAATGTTATATGACGATAAAAACGATAATGTTAATGATGATGATGAGCATAAGCATGATCCTGACAACTGATTAAAAAAATGAGGAAATATTTAGATAGCAAATAGTCTCAGCTACAACATACTAAAATTTGGGAGAAAACTGTTGAATAACAACCGAGATACTGGTCAAAACACCTTGTCAAGCAGATTCATGTTTTGAAAAAAGTGACCTCCCATAGACATAACACGCAAATATGACAAATTATGCATTGTCGTCTTTAATCGAATATTTAAGTATAATGACGTCATTTAAATAAAAAATGAATGGCTATTTGTGATAGAGAATTATCTCAGCTACAACATATCAAAATCTGGAAGAAAATCGATCACCGATAAGTGAGATAATCTCAATTAAACAAAGACAAAAATGACGTCATCAACAAAATACATTTTTTTGAGTTTAGATGCCAATATTAAGACTTTGTTTCACTTTGTACGAGTCAGGGTGGTATGAAATCATATCTCCAACTCATGCTTTCTCCAACCATGATATAAAAATCGGGGGTCGATGGACTATCTGAAGAGCTATTTTGATTTTTAAAATGGCATGTTTTTGATGAAATTTGCATTATATTGCCTATAGCAGCACGCGCGGATTTTGAACTTTGACGCACGCTCACGGCCTTATGAAATATGAAGAGTGACCGAAATCAATGTAACTTGTCAATTACGTTAAGAGGAATCCAAATCATGTAAACATTTTGAATTTGACTTTTTCCGCGCGTCATGAGCGCGCGCAACGCGCGCGGGGACATGTACGGACGGAAAATTTTGAAATGCTTAAAATGACCTGATTCGTACTCTCGTTTAATAGTTAAGTGATTTTGAGCATTTTAAAATTTTGACGCGCGCGTACGTGCGCGTCATGACCTTTATGTGACCTTTGATGACATTACTTGTTGACCCTTGACATGAAGTATATGTGATATGAATATGAATGACCTTTGCTTATGCATCATGAAGATATGATGGATAACGTGATTTCACAAAATGGCGCCTGGATGACGTCACGATGACCTGATGACCTTGAAAAGGTTACTGTCACGTCTCATGACAATGACCTATGACTGTGTCAAAATTGAAAGAAATTAACACAACCGATCTTGAGTTAACCGATGAACAAAAAACGGGGAGAAATAAAAATAAATAATAATAATAATAATAATAACTAGAAATTTAATTCGTCACGAAGACGAATAAGGTGGTCTGTCTAAGTCTTATGATAGATTTGAGAATGGGAGAAGTTATATAGACATGTAAACAATGATGATCATGATGAAAATGGTGATGATCATGATAGTAAAGGTGATGATGATGATGATAATGATAATGATCATGATGATGTTGATGATCATCTTCAGACCATGATGATGATGGTGACATTGATGATAATGATGATGATGATGATGATGAGCATGAGCATGATCCTGACATCTGATTGAAAAAATGAGGAAATATTAAGATAGCAAATAGTCTCAGCTACAACATACTAAAATTTGGGAGAAAACTGTTGAATAACAACCGAGATACTGGTCAAAACACCTTGTCATGCAGATTCATGTTTTGAAAAAAGTGACCTCCCTTAGACATAACACGCAAATATAACAAATTATGCATTGTCGTCTTTAATCGAATATTTAAGTATTATGACGTCATTTAATTAAAAAATAAATGTTATATTTGTGATAGAGAATTATCTCAGCTACAACATATCAAAATCTGGAAGAAAATCGATCACCGATAAGTGAGATAATCTCAATTAAACAAAGACAAAAATGACGTCATCAACAAAATACATTTTGTTGAGTTTAGATGCCAATATTAAGACTTTGTTTCACTTTGTACCAGTCAGGGTGGTATGAAATCATATCTCCAACTCATGCTTTTTCCAACCATGATATAAAAATTGGGGGTCAATGGACTATCTGAAGAGCTATTTCGATTTTTAAAATGGCATGTTTTTGATGAAATTTGCATTATATTGCCCATAGCAGCACGCGCGGATTTTGAACTTTGACGCACGCTCACGGCCTTATGAAATATGAAGAGTGACTGAAATTAATGTAATTTGTCAATTACGTTAAGAGGAATCTAAATCATGTAAACATTTTGAATTTGACCTTTTCCGCGCGCTGTGAGCGCGCACAACGCGCGCGGGGACAGGTACGGACGGAAAATTTTGAAATGCTTAAAATGACCTGATTCGTACTCTCGTTTAATAGTTAAGTGATTTTGAGCA